CTACGTTTCTTTTCTTCAGGTTGCTGCTGTGGAGCAAAGAATGTGGCGGCAACGACTGAACAGAAGGTTTCTGTAAGATTGTCACAGGCAAGGAATCCCAAGTTAGCCTTGTCTTCCCAGAAGAGCCACCCCTGTGAGAGTTGTGGGCTAGTCTTGGGAAACATTTTCCACATGATGGAGGGGCAGGGAGCACAGCACGGACAGATCCTGTTGAAGTGTGGGGCATGTGCAAAACGATTTTATTTCCTTGCAATATTTCACCAGCAGCATGTGAGAGAGAAGACGTTCATTAGAGGTGTGAACAGAATCTCAGTTTCAAACAGCTGCAGTTTCAATGTGTCCCAGAATCATTTCACATGCAGGGAGGTTGGGCAGGGTGTCCTTACGGGGTCAGGACATCTCCACCTAAAGGCTACTCAGACCAGGGACAGTCCAACTGCAATTTCGACGTGTGCAATGACATTTCAAAGGAGAAAAAATTATTCCAGCAGAAAAGAATGTAAGAAAGAAATTAGTTGCAATCACACGTTTATTCAGGGAAAAGGTGTCCATCTTGGAAGTGGGTGTTGTGTGTGCTCTGAATGTGGAAAATATTTTACCAAATTTTCTAGCTTTCATTATCAACAGAGAGGTCACACTGGAGAAAAGCCTTATAAATGCAGTGAATTTGGGAAAGCTTACACCGGTAGCACTGAACTGTGTCGTCATCAGAGAGTGCACCCTGGAAAAAGGGCATATCACTGCAGTGAGTGTGGGAAATCTTTTAGCCGGAGCATTGCCCTCCATTATCATCAGATGGATCATACAGGAGAAAAGCCTTATAAATGCAGTGAATGTGGGAAATCTTTTAAAATTAGAAATAGTTTCTTATGTCATCAGAGAATACACACTGGAGAAAAGCCTTATAACTGCAGTGAATGTGGGAAATCTTTTACCCAGCTCACTACCCTTTGTCTTCATCAGAGACTTCATACGGGAGAAAAGCCTTATCAATGCAGTGAATGTGGGAAATCTTTTGCACAGAGCAGTGCCCTTCGTTCTCATCAGAGAGTTCACACTGGAGAAAAGCCTTATCAATGCAGTGAATGTGGGAAATCTTTTCCCCACAGCACTACCCTTCGTTCCCATCAGAGAGTTCACACTGGAGAAAAGCCTTATCAATGCAGTGAATGTGGGAAATCTTTTACCCACAGTATTGCCCTTCATCGTCATCACAGAGTTCATACGGGAGAAATGCCTTATCAATGCAGTGAATGTGGGAAATCTTTTGCCCAGAGCGGTGCCCTTCATCGTCATCAGACAGTTCATACGGGAGAAAAGCCTTATCAATGCAGTGAATGTGGGATATCTTGTAACACTAAGAGTGACCTTCATCGTCATCAGAGAGTTCATACGGGAGAAAAGCCTTATCAATGCAGTGAATGTGGGAAATCTTTTGCCCAGAGCGGTGCCCTTCATCGTCATCAGACAGTTCATACGGGAGAAAAGCCTTATCAATGCAGTGAATGTGGGA